CCCCCCCAAAAAATACATGGCAAATCATCAACATCCATCATATAAACTCAGCAAATAACAAAAAGAAAAAGAAATTAAGAAAGAAATGTCCCTTTTTCAGGATAATGCATTTGAAAGATAATTTTATAAAATCCAAATAAGCATTTCAGATCTTTATCAGAAAGTGCTTAAACAATGTTTTTCTTTCTTGTTCAGTCAATCATAAACAATTACTTCACAAGCACCTGTGGGACAGTCCTTAAGAAGACACTGACAGTTTACAGGCGGTAGGCAATTAAGATCACAGTTATGAGACCTTTCTAAAACGAAGAAAGATGCCCATGTTCCTGATCACCTGTGTGAACATGCCATAGTCCTAGACACGAGGACTGCAGATTTGGCCACAGCAATAATCTGCATTGTCTGTAATGTAAGAGGCCTAAGACAGTGCTACAGGGAGATAGGAAGGGCAGCTGATAGTCCTTGCCATGAGAAACCCCATGTAACCATGTGTCCTCCAGAAATGTTCGGGAATGTGCAAATGCCTTTGTGGAAGGGTGGAGTAGGGTCTCACAGCAAGAAGTGGCAAATCTGGTGCAGTCCATGAGGATAAGATGTAGGGCTGTGTATCACCAGCAAATTCACGATACGATACGTATCACGATACAGAGGCCACGATACGGTACGTATCACGATACATGACTGCACTGAATTTCACCTCAGCAGAATTTAGAAAAACAGCTGTTTATTAAACACTGCATACTATAGTGTCATTTCTAACTATTGGCAGAGCAGGCAGCTGACCTCTGCATTATGAAGGGCCTCCATAACTGTACCACAGTACAATATAGGTAATTGCATCCGTTTCATGTTTACATTGTGCACTCCCCACCAGGTACAATATTCTGATTGTTTGCATCTTGTTTTTAAGCCCATAAATAATAATGTACTTGTTCTAATAAATTTATATTGTAATGTACTCATTCTAATATGTTTAAAAAATAATTTACATTGCTGGTAGGTTATCATTGCACAAATTAACACACTCTCTACAATAAAAAAAAAAGATAAGAGTTCTAAACAAACGCGCTGTCTTCACTGTATCTAACGCGCACACTCTCAAGGCTGACACTGCGTTTATCCACAGTGGAGAGAGAGCGTGTGTGCACATGGTTGCCAGGTTGACAAAGATAAGTAGCACGTTTAGCAGATATTTCCGTATTGCGCAAGTGTGAAGCTCTGTTTCGGGGATTACGTCTCTTTATATCAGGCAACCCTGTTGTGTTCCTCTGCGGCCAGATTATTAACAGATGCTCTATTCATTCTTTTTTAGAAACCTCGCACTTTTCTACTCAATTTGAGTGTAATAAAATTGTAAAATTTTGTAAAATTAAGCGTGGTCCACTGCTGCACACGTGCCACAGTATCGATACAGGGCCAGCTGTATCGATACTCGTATCGTCAAATCTCTGTGACGATACATCGTCGTATCGATATTTTGAACACAGCACTAATAAGATGCTGGTGCACACACAGGATACTGACTGCTACTTTTGATATTGACCCCCTCTTTGTTCCAGAAATGGAATAATGCTGACATATTATTACATTTCTGTTCGTCAAATGACTGTAAACCCTGTTCAGTTTATGTCTTAGCTGTTGAATATTTTTATGTTCAAACAAATATTTGCACCTGTTAAGAAATTAGCTGGAAATAAAAAACAGGGCATTTATTTGCTGAGTTTTTCATTTTGACCTGGAAAACTGTTTCCATGTAAATAATTTACTCTGACATGCAAAAACGTTTTTAGTATAAAAACTCTCAAAAAGAGGGAGAAAGATAAAGGGAGTTGACATATCTTACCCACATTCCTTACCCTGTATATGAGTGTGAGTCATCAAATAAAGTGTTAAAGTGCGGAGCGTGTTAGAGGTTGTTTCAGTTCCAGCCGCAAACAGGTCAAACAGCAAAGTGGCCATCTGTGAGACGTCAAATGTGGTGCATTGATCTACTCTCTGAAAACAAAACAATCCACTAACAAATCATTGTAAATCAAAGAATATTAAACTCATATTGTGCTGATAAATTCAATAAAAACACACAACCCACACAAAGACTTATGAGTATATCTTACTTTCTCTATCTCCTCCAGGTAACAGTCAATCAGGTCTCTGGGCTCCCCAGTAACACGTGACCTCGTGTGCTCATCCACAACTTTAAGAATGTGATTTTTAATTTCTCCATAATACTGAAAAGCCTTGCAGAATGGCAGTGGGAAAATCCTTAACACTGGGGCTATTTCGTTGAGCTGTGATTCAAAATAAAATCCTTAAAAATACATGTAAATTTAAATGTCTGTCTTTCAATATTCTATCCATTTGTGTACAAATCACAGTAACTACTATATATTATTTATTTTTGGTAGCAGCAATACTGTAAGTGTAAACAAAAAAAGTATTATCAGCAGAGTATAAAAAGCATCTTTGTTTGTGTAAATAGCCTTTAGCAAAATGGCTGGCTATTTGCACTCAGTGTAAATAAACAGTGTCTTTACTTTTCATTGTATTTACCATTGCCCATTGTCCAATGACAATCTTAGTAAGTTTTTCGATACTTATGATCAATGTCTGGAAATATTCATCCTGATGATTGAAACGTGACCCAAAAATGATTGAGGCAATGATGTTTGAAGCAGCTTGGTGGTACAGATGTTTAGGGTCAATTGACTTTCCTGGTAGGGATGTAGAGGTAAAAAGAGATGTTTTCCATTCTTGAATTTGAATATTTTCTGGCAATTTTAAGATCATAAAAATGGCTATATTCAAAGATTAGACACTGAACGTGGGATTGCATAAATGAACTATGTTAATATAAATATTAAAAGTGTCACAGATGTTTCTTATGAAAGTGTTCCCCTTCTTTCGGGAGTCTTTAACTTCTCTGCTTATTTCTTTATACTGACTTCTCATATGTTCCCTAATTGCTGTAATTTATTTAAAAAGTCGTGTATGTGGGGAGGAGGGTGTGATAGTTGTTAATGTAATTGTATATGTCAAAACTCAATAAAAAATATTTACAAAAAAAAAAGTGTCACAGATGAGGAGAACATATATACCAGCAGATTCCTCCAAATGTGAGCAGATATATTTGACCTCCTCTAGAATCCTCTGCTCCATACTTCTCTTTCCAAGGCCAAAGTTCCTCAGTGTGGACAGAGCAAAGCGTCGATGCTCCCTCCAACTTTCTCCATAATCTGCCATGATCACCCCTAAACAAACATAGTAATCAGCTAGGAAGTTGCAATCAAAATTTTTGATAATATTCTCTGCTGAGTGCAATTGTCTGTGTTATAGGAGTAGTATGCTGGCTGCATTTTGTTTATACTGCATTACCTTTGCTTTGTGTTACATGACTGACCATCATGTTGTCTGATCTGCCAGCAAACTCTACCGCTTTTGTGATCAGTGCCTCCCTGATCATCTTCTGACCTGTCAACACCACTGCTGGCTGGCTACCAATGAACAGTCCGTAGATTGACCCATAGTGCTGAGCAAACTGCAAAAAACATTCATGTTGAAGACCACAGACTCACAACAGCATGTTTTTGCTGTTATACTGTATGAACAAAGTCTGATTTCCTTTCATCACTTGTTTCCAGCAACCCATTCAATTATTTCAGTGTGAGTTATTACATCAGTAATAATGTATTGTTAATGCAGCAGTCTCCAATGTGTTTGAGACTGATGTGCTTACCTTGTCAAAGTCCTTTAACGGGTTTGTGCGGTCCAGTTGATGCAAATTTCCAAAAAATGGAACAGGAGTGGGTCCAGGGGGGAAGTTTTTGGGTCTTCGAATTCTAAACTGCAAGTACAGAAGAAAGGCTCCCAGACACAACAGAACAAGTGCGGGCAACATGGTTACTGATCTGCTGGACGGCCCGTCTCAAACCTGCTATTTAATGCAGACAGAGAACTGATACGCATGCACACAAAACTCCTCCTTTAAACTCTGCTGAGCTTTTTAAACTTTGTTGAACTGGAGTTGGGAAACACTGACTATATAGGTAAAAAGGTAAGCTATAATCAACAATATGGGCGACGAGGTAATGATACTTCCACCAGAGGTCAATGTCAACATGAACCCTTGATAAATTTGTTCCTGAAAGTTCATTATGTAAACATGCACTATCTATGACATTATCCAAGTTTGTGCAGCATTAACACATTTTTTGTTACATTTCTGTTTCTGGCAAAATATTCTGGTGACTAAAATAAAATTGTATTTTCAGTCTTTCTTATAATATATGAAGTAAACACTAAATGTGTGTTTGACTTATTTTAGTGTTTTATCAGGTGGTGGATAAAGCAAGGCTTTATGATCACATGAGATGTATGCATGAAATGCACAAAAGAGCTTAAAATGAATTGAATTTTCATAGTATTGAAATGACATTATGTTTAATTGGTATCTTTCCAATTGTATGCACAATGACTCACCGTTGTCTGTAACTACTACGGTGAGGCACAACCTCAATCAAGCAGAGATTAAGCCACTGTTCAGTTTTCAGCATCAGGTATTCTTAAAATAAATGAACTGACAAACATTTGCAGAGTAAACATATTTCACAAAAGAACACTGGAACTGAACACTACTCAACTGTGACTGGTGCAGTCAAGAGAGCCCCACTTTGCTCAAATTGTTTTTTTAACCTCAAAAACCCTTTTACTTATGTTAGAAAACACTCTCTGTCTTTAGAATGGTTTTAGATGCCTCACCCCTCCTTTTCTTCTCTCCTTCTCTCACTCGTTCCCTATACAATGCATTCTCTCTGAATCCCCCCTCCTCTATCTGTTTCTCTCTCTCTCTCTTGTATTATATTTTAAATGTCTCTTACTCATATGCGAGGTATGCATGCGCAAATATATACATTAGCTTTTCTTGGTTCAAATGCCCAAATAAGGAGATGAATGCTAGGACTATAAGGGTAAAGGTGTTCGTGAGGAACTCTGAAGAGAGTGCCTCATCCTTCACCAAAAGTCTATTCCTAATATGTCCATGTTTTTCTGTACATGTGGCCATTTTATATAAACACATGTTCTTGGCCAAAGATCCTATATGTGTATGTCATTCATATCCTCATTGGTTAAGAGGGTGAAACTCCCCTCGACATATGCCTATATAATATCTTTATTTCCATGAATAAATTGAAGTATTGAGAATACATTTGAATGTGTGTTTTCTTGCTTCCCGGCCGTATTCTACACTTTAAGGGACTGAGAAGATTTCACGGTGGCAAAGAGATATCGAGGGACCAATTGTTATTTTTTATTAACAACTTACAAAAAAGGGCAGTGACTTGAAAAACTGTTGATTTAATTATATCATATGAAGTAAAACATTTTATTAAGATATATGCAATCATTTCAGGAATTCTAATTAATTCTGCAAGATTTAAAAACTGTGTTAAGCTACACATTATATCAACTTACCCCCAAAACGACCTTTAGACCTCTGGTAAATGGCCTCTTGGATCAGGACAATTATGCAATAAATAGAGACAAACAAGTGTATAGAAAAGTGTTCCTGGTAGTTCTGTGTGGTTTAGGAGAAATAAAATATTTTCATCTTCTTCTTCACCCTTCACCATTGCCTTTAGTTCTGTTGTACCCTAAAATAATTTTGGTATCTGTTAGGTTGTTTTGGAGGAGGAAAACTAAAAACCCTTTTACGGTCTAATAGTGTAAAATGCATAGATTCGGTTGCTATGATTTATAGTTATTTGTATTGCTATCAAAAATCTAAATGTAGGTCAATGTCAACATGAACCCTTGATAAATTTGTTCCTGAAAGTTCATTATGTAAACATGCACTATCTATGACATTATCCAAGTTTGTGCAGCATTAACACATTTTTTGTTACATTTCTGTTTCTGGCAAAATATTCTGGTGACTAAAATAAAATTGTATTTTCAGTCTTTCTTATAATATATGAAGTAAACACTAAATGTGTGTTTGACTTATTTTAGTGTTTTATCAGGTGGTGGATAAAGCAAGGCTTTATGATCACATGAGATGTATGCATGAAATGCACAAAAGAGCTTAAAATGAATTGAATTTTCATAGTACTGAAATGACATTATGTTTAATTGGTATCTTTCCAATTGTATGCACAATGACTCACCGTTGTCTGTAACTACTACGGTGAGGCACAACCTCAATCAAGCAGGGATTAAGCCACTGTTCAGTTTTCAGCATCAGGTATTCTTAAAATAAATGAACTGACAAACATTTGCAGAGTAAACATATTTCACAAAAGAACACTGGAACTGAACACTACTCAACTGTGACTGGTGCAGTCAAGAGAGCCCCACTTTGCTCAAATTGTTTTTAGACTTTGCTCTTGGTTGGCTTATCATGGCAAGATGCTATGTCCTTTTTTTTAACCTCAAAAACCCTTTTACTTATGTTAGAAAACACTCTCTGTCTTTAGAATGGTTTTAGATGCCTCACCCCTCCTTTTCTTCTCTCCTTCTCTCACTCGTTCCCTATACAATGCATTCTCTCTGAATCCCCCCTCCTCTATCTGTTTCTCTCTCTCTCTCTTGTATTATATTTTAAATGTCTCTTACTCATATGCGAGGTATGCATGCGCAAATATATACATTAGCTTTTCTTGGTTCAAATGCCCAAATAAGGAGATGAATGCTAGGACTATAAGGGTAAAGGTGTTCGTGAGGAACTCTGAAGAGAGTGCCTCATCCTTCACCAAAAGTCTATTCCTAATATGTCCATGTTTTTCTGTACATGTGGCCATTTTATATAAACACATGTTCTTGGCCAAAGATCCTATATGTGTATGTCATTCATATCCTCATTGGTTAAGAGGGTGAAACTCCCCTCGACATATGCCTATATAATATCTTTATTTCCATGAATAAATTGAAGTATTGAGAATACATTTGAATGTGTGTTTTCTTGCTTCCCGGCCGTTATCTACACTTTAAGGGACTGAGAAGATTTTGCAATTGCATTTGGATTATGTCACAATTTATGCGTCCACATATTGAAAACGCAATTGAAAATACAATTTGCTATTCTATTTGAAAATTGTCCGGAATATCGTTCCATATTCCCCCTCACCTTCTCGCATTGTCAATCCCATAAACACGTATTCTGTTCCACACTCCGGTCCAGTTGGTGGCGGTAATGCACCTACAAGTTGGTTTGCCAACCACCAATAAACACCAAAGAAGAAGAAGAAGAAGAAGTAGTCCTGTACGCACATTAAGGTAGCTTTTTTTTTTTTTTTTTGCATCTGTGACGCATTTTCTAAGCACCGGAAACGTGCTCGCGAGCACTGATGTGTTATTTTGCTTGGGTATTATTTGGTAGTTGTTTGGTTTTGAAGATCATTCTTTACAAATAAAAAAAATCAGATCCGTTCGTTTTTTAGATGCCTAAAGAGAAAGTGGTTATCAGGTGAAATAGTCGCACGAGAAGGAAAACTCAGGGGGAGATGGCGGTATGAGACAAGCCTGACTAGCTATTAAAACAGAAACCTGATTAATAACTGTGTCTTTAAATGTAACCATGTGATAACTGTATATTCTGACTGGCGAGATTGTGATTTTCTGTGTGTCAGTGCTGTCTTGTTAAGTAATATGTCTCTCGTTAGCCGAAAGGAAAAGTTGGAACCAAAGGCAAAAAACAAATCCATGAGGAAAACCAGGATACTCTGAGGTTCTATATTAGAATCATCCTGGGAGCAAACGTAAGGCATGCATCTGAGTTTGAGTGTGTCTCTGTACATGCTAATGGTTAACATTAAAGACATATTTTAATGGATTTATTGGTTTCTCTTCAGGCTATTTATGCAGTGGTCAATCTCTTGCTCTTTTATAACTCATCTACATTTTGGACATGGGTAAGTCGGAGTATGATGTGAATAAGAGCATAATCATTTAGCATATGCATACTTTGTGCTTTTGCATTCAGTGGTGTGTATGAGCAAATGTTGCATGCATATCTGCTCGTGGCAAATAAACCATGGGGTTTCAGTCTTTTAGATGCCATGGACCACCGAAATGATCCTTATATGAGGGGCCCCATTCTAAAATTTAAATGGCATATATAAAGGTATATTTTTATGTATAAAGACTCAATTTGTACTGATAAAATTTATATTTACTTTGTATTATGTTACACTATTAAGGTTTTTCCTACTCACTGTAGAACAGGACTACAAGGAGTATTATTTCATTTTGATCTTATTTGTTTATTTGAATCTTGTTTTTGTGTATTTATTTATTTTTACACTTTTGAAGCTGCTTTTCTCTAAGCTTTTTTATGGCCCCTCTAGCACTCCCTTGCGGACCCCAGTTTGAAAAACAGTGATATAGACAGTAATGTCCATTTCTCTACCTCTAGGGCTTTGCTTAAGTTTTATTTAGACCCCTGTATATGGGGTTTTTGGTCAACAGTGAGATGATAAACTTTTGGCGGTTTCCAATCTTTTGGTAAGTGTAGCCTAATTCACTTCTCTCTTTGTCACCAGTTCTTTCTCCTGTTCGCGGTGGCGGTCTACATTGGCGGCTACAGATCTATGTCAGCAATGGCCAAGCCTGCATTTGCTGAAGATGGTAGCTTGCTGGATGGAGGGATTGACCTTAATATGGAACAGGGCATGGCAGAGTGAGTGGGATGTTTAATCTGTACAGTTTTTTCCCCATTTATATGTGTATTTCCAGACAGTGATATACTCTTCATTACCATAACTGATTTTTTAAAAATATATATTGACATGCAGACACCTGAAGGATGCGATTCTTCTTACTGCTATTGTTCAGGTCCTCAGCACTCTGTCATCCTACTTCTGGTACTTCTGGCTCTTGGTGAGACTGTGTAATTGCTCTGATTGTGATATCTTTGAGGTTTCACAATTACATTTTTACTGAAACTGTATTATTTGCTTTCTCTTCACACCAGGCACCTGCAAGGGCTTTGCATTTATTGTGGGTGAGCTTACTGGGCCCCTGGTTTTCTGCTGAATCACAGGCAGCCCCTGAAGAGAACGAGAAGAATGAAAAGAAACAGAGGAGACAGGAAAGACGACAGATGAAGAGATTCTAGACTTGTCTGTTTATTATTTTTTACATTTATTGTACAATTACATAGAACATGCAATCTAAATTATTCTGAGATATTTGATATGACAGGTTAGTCCAGACAATAGATGAGCACTGTAAAGTGTCTTTGACTTTCTCTCACGCGTCATCAGCTGCTCTGTCCTTTTCAGCCCTTTGGTTCCTTTCTCTTACTTTGTCCATCTTAAAATCTCTTGCTCAGGTGTGCCTCTGAGTGGGGCTCCACAAGTGAGTTAAACTCACACAAAATGCATTTGCTTACTATAGTGAGCTTTCATATAATTAGTTTCAGTTGCTAATGAGTACTTTTCAGCAGGTGCAGCTACATGGCCCATTGCCCTCAGAAATTTAGACCCGAGGCTGTATGAGCTTCACCAACCACGCGACGTTTCACAGCACTTTTAGAATTCCATCTTTGGCCTTTCAGAAAATTCTGTTTTTTTTGTTCTGTATCGGGGGAATCGTGCTGATTCTGTATCAAAGGTAATTATCTTTGACATGTTGTGTTCTGGTGAAGCTGCAGGTGCAGCCTGGTGCTGCCTTGAGGGAACGCAAAGTAGATAAGGATAAAAAATAATAATGGACCAATAATTGAATGATAATTGATTTAACATTTCAATGGACTAAAAAAAATTTGCAAAACTGCGTCTTGACAACCTGGTAAAACTAAGTTGCTTCAGCTGAAATTTATGGAGACCCAATGATTATAAATAAACTATTACAAAATGATGAGTTGCTGTGAATTTTCTTTTAAATTGATATAATCATTCCTCAGTTCCTGGCTCATTCGGACCCAGTCCTGGATGAGCATAGGACAGTGGAATGGATTATTCGGGCAGTGTTCCCAACCCTGTTCCTGGAGACTGTCCCAACACAACATGCTTTAGATGTCAAACACACTTGATTCAACTCATGAGCTTTTTAGTAGTGTATTTAAAGACCTGGAGCCGTATGTATAAAGCCGCTGTGTGTCAGTCAAAAGTGTGTCAATTCTAAGAATGACGTAATTTTACTCATTCCTAGACTTAAGAATAAGAGTGATTCATAAAGGTTCCTAAGTGTTAAGACTAGGTCCCAGCTCCTAAATTATTTAAGAGAGCTAAAGAGGTCTAACCTAGTTAGGAGTAACAAGATGGCAGCACAGAGGAGGAAACAAACACTTTCCAGCGAAGATATGACATATTGGAGTTATATGATGATATGGAGTTGATAAAACGATACAAACTTGATTGTGTCCATCTTAAAATCTCTTGCTCAGGTGTGCCTCTGAGTGGGGCTCCACAAGTGAGTTAAACTCACACAAAATGCATTTGCTTACTATAGTGAGCTTTCATATAATTAGTTTCAGTTGCTAATGAGTACTTTTCAGCAGGTGCAGCTACATGGCCCATTGCCCTCAGAAATTTAGACCCGAGGCTGTATGAGCTTCACCAACCACGCGACGTTTCACAGCACTTTTAGAATTCCATCTTTGGCCTTTCAGAAAATTCTGTTTTTTTTGTTCTGTATCGGGGGAATCGTGCTGATTCTGTATCAAAGGTAATTATCTTTGACATGTTGTGTTCTGGTGAAGCTGCAGGTGCAGCCTGGTGCTGCCTTGAGGGAACGCAAAGTAGATAAGGATAAAAAATAATAATGGACCAATAATTGAATGATAATTGATTTAACATTTCAATGGACTAAAAAAAATTTGCAAAACTGCGTCTTGACAACCTGGTAAAACTAAGTTGCTTCAGCTGAAATTTATGGAGACCCAATGATTATAAATAAACTATTACAAAATGATGAGTTGCTGTGAATTTTCTTTTAAATTGATATAATCATTCCTCAGTTCCTGGCTCATTCGGACCCAGTCCTGGATGAGCATAGGACAGTGGAATGGATTATTCGGGCAGTGTTCCCAACCCTGTTCCTGGAGACTGTCCCAACACAACATGCTTTAGATGTCAAACACACTTGATTCAACTCATGAGCTTTTTAGTAGTGTATTTAAAGACCTGGAGCCGTATGTATAAAGCCGCTGTGTGTCAGTCAAAAGTGTGTCAAAATTCTAAGAATGACGTAATTTTACTCATTCCTAGACTTAAGAATAAGAGTGATTCATAAAGGTTCCTAAGTGTTAAGACTAGGTCCCAGCTCCTAAATTATTTAAGAGAGCTAAAGAGGTCTAACCTAGTTAGGAGTAACAAGATGGCAGCACAGAGGAGGAAACAAACACTTTCCAGCGAAGATATGACATATTGGAGTTATATGATGATATGGAGTTGATAAAACGATACAAACTTGATTGCCAAGATCAAAAAATCTTTCTTTTTTTTTTGTAACTGACAAAGTAAGAAATTGAATAACCTCTTCCACTCAACAAGTCAATGCTCTAACTGCAGAAATGTAATTCAATTTTTGGGGCTGTAAAATTGGAAAAATGCAGCAATGCACCGGTGATGACAGTAAGCAGGGTCTTACATATTGTGGCACTAACCCCACCAAACACAACAGTGGCCAAAAGTGATGTGCGGATTATTTTATTTTTTTTAATGACCCCACATTTCACTTAAAACACTAAAATACAAAGGGGAAAAAAACACTGACCAGTGCTGCCAACTGCTTTCAATCGAAAGTAGCTAAAACTGGTCACTTAATGTTGCTAGATGACCTCATAAAGGCAACTTCACTGATCTATATTTATATTTATATAGATCAGTGAACTCACCTTTGTGACGTCATGGGAGAGTCTCGGAATGTACATAAGGTTTGTCCAAGAAACTGATTTTGTGGCTAGGCTTTTGAAAAAAAGTCTAAAGGGATGCGGAAGTGTAGTGACAAAAATCACTAAATTGGCAACACTGGCACACTGACTACAAAATAAGTAAATATTAAAAATAAATAATATTTCATTGGTCCTCTTGTTTTTGAATGTGTTCATAATTTCTTATGACAGCATGCCAAAAATTATGACCGCACAATTTGGCATGTTTCATTGCATTATTATCACAAATAAAACAACTGACTCTAAGCAACTATGCAATATGCTTACAAAATCTTGAACATTCATTCATTTATTTTTTTTAATTAAGGGTGAAATTTCCTAGGCCGGACCTCACTTTTGGCCACTATTATATGGCAATTAATTAACTTTCCAACTGACCGCCAAACCATATTGCAAAAACAAGCCACTTTTATGAGGATTGTGGGCTTTCCTGGAGTTGTAGGAGCCACTGATGGAACTCATGTTCACATCATTGCTCCAACTGTAAACTAGGAGACATACCAATAGAAAACGAAGCATCAGTAATAATTTGTGATAATTTTGCACAATGCAAAGCATTAAAAAAAAACATTTAAATATTAAAATATTTCAGTGTCTTAATTAAATGATTTTATTGTAGTTACATTAAATGATTGGTGTTGTGCTGCTGTGACTTCACATGAGCAGGCTCACTATTGGCTGATTCAGAGGCCGAGGTCGGCCATTTTGTGTTGACATCATTGTAGTCCTTAGTTCACAACACTTAAGTGTCACCTCAGTCAACACTTAAGAATCAGTCTTAGACTTTACTGAAAGCTGCTTTTAGCTTCTTTATAAAAGTCTCCTACTCTTAGAAAAGTCCTACTTTTTACTAAGAATTTTTTGACACTTAAGTCAAAGCTTAAGGCTATTCTTAAGAGCATTTCTGAGAAGTTTTATACATATGGGCCCTGAAATATATTAGATGATTACTGTTGAGGGGCCCCAAGAATTAGGCAAGAAGTTGTTTTTAATTAATTCTGATAGCCCCAGGTGCTGTACAATTTGGATGTTTCCCTTGTCTGAACTTCTGGCTGGAATCTCAGCTAAGTGACTTGGAATAAATCTGGGCCCGTATTCACAAAACATTTGATCTTACCACTAAGAGTTCTCCTAAATAGCTCTAAAAGTTATTAGCTAAGAGTTTTCTTTTAAAACCTATTCACAAAGCTGCTGAGACAAACTTTTACTAAGGAATAGAGAAAAGTCTTAAACTAAGATTGCTATGGATGATGTCAGCATACATCGGCTGATAGTCTCTGTCAGAGATTCATTCATAGAAGTATTGTAGAGCACGATATTATGTTGCCATATTCAAATAAAGATTTAAAAATGCAGGTTAAGTGACACTAATTAAAATATATAATATATATATATATGTATGTATGTATGTATATCTAATTGTCAGCCTGTATGCTTCTTGTAAAAATGAGTGAATATGCATATAAACAGTCTTTTAATTAACAGAGTAGAATAATCATGGCTGATTGTAAGACATGCAAACAAAAAAGAAAACCAAACTGGACTCAAGAACAGCTGTTAGTTCTTGCCCAGTTGGTTAATGAAAACAAGGATATAATCAAAGGAAAAGTTGAAGTTGGGATAACCTCCAAAACCAAAGGCGATACCTTTTTAAAATCGCATTATCGTTAAATGTTTCTAAAACGTTTACGTTCCGAGGCAGATTGCTAGCAACTGCCATTTTAGGACAGTTTGTGGTTTGGTCTTAGTGACTTAAGAGTCCTCTTCACTACTCCTAACGTTCCACAGATTTAAGGAGCTAGTTTTAGTGCTAAAACGCTTTGTGAAATACTCTTAAAGCAAAAATTTAGGAGTCCTACATTTAGATCTGTCACGCCCATTATTTTAAAGATTTTTTCCTAAATCGGCGAGTTATGAGTTACTTTTAGCTAAGATGTTTTGTGAATACGGGCCCAGATGTGTTAAATCAGAGATATCAAACTCAGTTCCTGGAGGGCCACAGCTCTGCAAAGTTTAGATGCAACCCTAATTAAATGCACCTGATCCAACTAATCAAGTCCTTCAGGCTTATTTGAAAACTACATGGTATGTGTGTTTGGGCAGGGTTGCAAATAAACTCTTCAGGGCTGCGGCCCTCCAGGAACTGAGTTTGACACCCCTGTGTTAAATACAGGCTGCTGCAGAACCAGGATTGAGACCTAGACATGTATCCAATGCGCATGCGCACGCTCGGATCTTTTCTCGTCCTAAACGAATCTTTTTCTCATTAGTGCTGATCTGATCTGATCGGTCTATCGACAGACTGCAGTCATGAGAGTCCCCATTTAACCCAGACTGACCGTCACCAACACAAGGAAGGTAAGGAGAACTGTTGCTAAGCTACCGCTAACTTAGTTAGCAACACAATCGGAAACAACACGACAACAGCGACATTTAAGTGTGTAAAGTGGGTCGATGTTTGTCGGTCGAGTGTGTTATCGTCAACTTTCATCTCATAAATGTACGCCAAGGGTCCCTGGACTTTAACCGCATCACACAGCAGATAAGACAATCAAGTAACTTAAATACAAGATATTTGTTTACAGTTCAGATGAGTTGGCTAGCCACCTTGTGAAGCTAGCGGAAAGTTATCCGACAACAACAAGTTTATGTCTCTAACGTTAACGTTACTATGTGTATCAGTATGGCTTGTTAGTAAGGCCTTTAACGGAGTTAGAAAGAAATAAGGATAGGATGGAAAAGATCGATTGCTTACAAATTGTTCATTTTCTCACAACTGCTAACGTTAGCTGTGATGCATGCTCGCGTGGCAAAGTGACTTCAGCTGGATATGCCTCGATGATTTATTTAATCTAGCACCAGTTTCGGACTTTATGTAAGTGGTAATGTGTGTGTGTGTGTGCGCATAAATGGTATTTGGTCTAATAAGGTTAGGTTTCAGCCACACGTGAAAGATCAGTTTGAAACGGCGTTAAGTTACCTGACTGCTCTTTGTCCGTAAACGCCTCGCCTTTGAGCGTTTTCTCGTGATTAACATGATTTTACATCGAATAGCTGCTTTAATTGGTGTTATATGAGCTCTAAAGAACAATGTGCGTTTACTATTGGGGTAAGTAACATGACCCCCTGGCCCCTACCTGGGACAAAGAAGCCACCCCTTACTAATCTGGTTTATAATTTAAAATGTAGTAACTGAATAACCAGTAACGGAGCAGGAACCAAATGAAAAAGATTAGTCTGAAATGTACATT